GGCGAAGTGGAATGACTCTGAGTCTGGTTGTGAGTTTAGTTTTTCCTTTCTTAAGATTGGACGAAGTATAGGTCATTTGAAATAAAACCCATGTTGAATCACATAAGCCAAAATACTATTTCCCGAGACAACAATATCAATGCTAATTCGTAAGTTCCTTATGGAGTACAGAACACATCATCTAACAATTGTTTGCCTTAGACCTTTGCTCAGTTAGTTATATTGTAACTTTATACAAACTATCAGGTAGTCTGCTATTTCTTCATGACTTCCACATCCCCTCGACATGAATCTTCTTCCGGGGTCAACAGACTCCAACATTATTGAGACGCTGGGGCAAGAGAGTTCTGGTGATACGGATGAGGAACCTGATATTATGATGAGTGAGATTGAAGAAGCTGTACGGTCATTGAAGAACGGAAAGGCGGCCGGATTCGACAACATACCAGCAGAACTGTTGAAAAACGGCAGAGTCTGCACAATTGAGACTTTACACAAGATCTGTAATTTGGTATGGAAAAGTGGTGATTTGCCTAAGCAGTGGACACAATCGTTGATTATCCCACTTGCTAAGAAAGGTGATCTGAAGAAATGCACAAACTACAGAACGATTAGTCTTATAAGCCACCCAAGCAAGGTTCTACTGAAAGTCATCAGTAAGCGACTGAAGACGAGAGTGGAAGCCGTTCTAGTAGAGGAACAAGCGGGATTTAGGAGTGAACGGAGTACTGTCGAGCAAATTGCCAATGTGAGAATTCTGGGAGAGAAATACCGTAATCACCACAACTTCATTGATTTCAAGAAAGCGTTCGACAGGGTGTGGAGGGAAGCACTATGGTTAGCAATGAAAAAGCACAATATGAGCGCAGGATTGGTGACAATAATCGAATCACTCTACAACAATAACAGCAATGCAGTGCTGACGAGCAACAGCAATTTGGAGTGGTTCCAGACTACAGTTGGTGTGCGACAGGGTTGTATTTTGTCCCCTTGCTTGTTTAATATTTTCCTAGAACAAATCATGATGGAGGCACTAGAAAACTACTCAGGAACGGTCAAAGTCGCAGGTAGAGAGATAACTAACCTCAGACTCGCGGATGATATAGATCTCATCGCTGGAGCCAAAGAAGAGCTTGCTGATCTCAACACAAGGCTGGACACAGTTTCGAGGAAGTACGTATGGAGATAAGTGCGGAAAAGAGCAAGACGATGGTTGCGTCGAGAACAGGTGATAGAGAGGGAGCCACTGATGTTCAGATCAGAGTTGGAGATGCGGAACTAGAGGAAGTACAAAGTTTTAAGTACCTTGGCTCTACATTGAATGAGTGTTACGTCAGAGAATCTGGAGCTCAAGTGCAATATACATCGCAGTCAAGATTCGGCTGATGAAATCTCTCATCACTTCAATTGCCCTGTATGGATTCGAAGCATGGACCCACAGCAAAGCACTAGAAAAGCAAATATCTGCTTTTGAGCTCCACTGCTTCAGAAGAGTACTTGGGATCATGTGGAGGCAGAAAATCACCAATTTTGAAGTCAGAAGGAGGATCACCAACGAAATCGGTATCTTCGAGCCTCTGTTGGAGACGGCAAGGAGGAGGAAATTGCAATGGTTCGGTCACACCAGTAGGAAGATGGGTACTCTTGCATTCGACATCATGCATGGAGGTGTTGAGGGAAGTAGAGGGAGAGGACGACCGAGGAGATCGTGGCTGTCTGACATCGGAGAGTGGACGGGGAAAAGCGTGGTGGATTATCTCAGGGAAGCGCAGGACCGTGGGCGGTGGCGGAGAATTGTGTACTTGTCAAAGTGCCCCAACGGCCATCAGGCTACGGGAGTGACCTGACCTGACCTAAGGTGCAATACCATTTAAATGTAATGATAAAACAAATTTGTTACTCTTAAAGAATAAATGACATTGCCTTCACCGCTATCAAAAAGGTAACGTAATGGAACGCCTTTGCTAACACCACTGACAAGGAGTAAGTCACAGGCGGGAACTTTATTTCTTCGTGTTTTTAAATATTAGTGACAGGAAGTAAACATGAAAGCACGGATACATCATTGGGGCCTACGTGACTGATTAAATGTTAAAAAATAAATCATATGCGACTCATCCCTTCGTGGTTCCCTACGAAATAATCACGGTATCAATAATATGGATAAAATTATGCTTCCCCAAATTTCAAGGAAATTTATAGAAATCACGAATCCTGTAATATAGCAACAATGCAATACTTTGAAAGCCAGCTATCAGTCTGAAGAGAGACTAATTTTATCAACTTGCTGGCAATATTGGGTGTAGGCCTACATCATATCGACAAGTAATTACATTATATACAACACATGATTATTTAATAAACGCATATTTGAAGATTACATAGACGAAGTAGAGATGTAAGAACATAAAGGACATGATGATAATCACCGAACTGGTCTGTCATACGCTTACTGGGGGAAGACTGAAACGAACACACGGACATCAAACCCCAACATGACCTATGTTCGAATGGATGGTTACACTGTACCTTTCCTCTTTGTCGACTAAGAAGCAGTAAGTGAAACCAGTAGGAATAGGTATAAAATATAGATCTAAAATACATGTCCAGAGATAGGGGAGAGTGGGATACCTTGAGGAGGTTTATATAGTTTTTGTTCTTCATATAAAAATAATAGTAGGAAATATAACATTTTCCACATTAATGATGGGACACATAAAACCAAAGTGAGGCACATTGAGCTACGGTTCAAACTGCCTGTGATCTTGGGGTCCAAGGTGTCATTTTGTAAGTGAGACTTTTTCACAGCTATTATTTGACTACCATCACGATATTATTTCCACATAATTTGCCTGACTTACATATATTAGACTACAGTACTCCACGGTAAGCTTGTCTTAAGGTTAATACTCACAAAGGTGACCACCAGGGGGTTATATATAACTAACATATATGAGATTTAAATGATAATAATGGAGTTAGAGGGCGTGTCTCAATGTGCCGATGTGGTCAGGTTGGCCCCACTCCCCCGTAACTCGATTGATACCACAGGACAAGTAATTTTTATTTACTACTATCATTACTACTTGCCAGTGTCAGGAATTTAACGGCAATTTGGGACTATCACTGAATAAAATATTTCTTTAGTCAGGTAAATCAGATTAAATAATAGTGTTCATACTCATTACGGTCTTGTTCCGTATGATATTGCAGAACAGTTTTTAATCTTTTAAAATGAGCGACAACTTCGGTATAGATTTGACATATGTGATAACTTTCGTGCAATTATCCCATGATTCCTTCCACTATTCTGTGGTCCTGTGTACGATGAGATTCTGAAATTTTACTGACTAGGGGGATACAGCTTTGGTAGAAATTACTTTCCCCTAAACTTCTAGATACTACCCTCTGATTGGGTAAGGACTATAATGCATCTAGTCACAGGAAAGGAAAAATTAGCAACTCACGCTGGTGTCAGGAGTACTCCTATCTGTAAAGTCAGTTTTGTTCTAGTCAATTTACTCTTTGTTTTCAGGTCTACAAATATTATTATTATTTTTAGATCATGTAAAATATGCCATTTCTTCGTTTCTGCGACTGGATAAATTTCGACTATAACTTGACAAAGCTGGTGTGTTGAGGCATTCAAACATCCAGTGGCAATATCCGTTATACTCTAAACATATAATACAAATAATTAAAATAAAAAACACCATGGTTTTCAGCACTAATTAATGTAACATAATTATCAACACAACATTCTATACACCAAGACAAATCATACCAAACACTACATTATTTCTTCTTCCTCAAACGAGACAGTAAATCAGAGTACTCTACTCTAGGGAAACTGCTTATTTTTCCTTTCCTGATACTGGAGAGAGAGAGAGAGAGAGAGAGAGAGAGAGAGAAAGAGAGAGAGAGAGAAAGAGAGAGAGAGAGAAAGAGAGAGAGAGAGAAAGAGAGAGAGAGAGAAAGAGAGAGAGAGAGAAAGAGAGAGAGAGAGAAAGAGAGAGAGAGAGAAAGAGAGAGAGAGAAAGAGAGAGAGAGAGAGAAGAGAGAGAGAGAGAGAAAGAGAGAGAGAGAGAAAGAGAGAGAGAGAGAAAGAGAGAGAGAGAGAGAGAGAGAGAGAGTATACCGGGTGGAAAGCCCTTGCGAACAGCCGCCAGTGACCCGGTTCCGCAGCTGCTTCCGGTGGCCGCCGCTACAAATACTCCAAGGATGACCCCTGTCAATCAGAGAGTGTGCCCGCCGCTCGCCGGTCAGGTCGGGCGTCTGTCCGCCTCAGGTCAGGGCTGCCCACCCCCTCCCCTTGACCGCGCACTACCCAAGACTGTCTCGTTTGTGTTAAACCTATCCCGTGTGCTACCTCTTACAAAATAAAGAGTGTAAAGCCACCCAAGCTTTTACTGTTCTGTCACCAATGTATAAGAAGTCAAAATCATATACCCTTTACAGAGAGAGAAGGATAATTGATATCAAACTCAGTTATTTTACATAAATATGAGGGAAAGTTAACCTTTTAATAAAGTTATACATTATTTATTAATCGAAAAGATATTATGCAGCCAAAATGTCAAGTCAATCACATAAATTGATATGTCAGTAATACAACTTTTGAGTTCATTGTAATCCAATACAATAGCTATACCGCCTTGAATATCCATCTTTTAATTCTAACAACTAACTTGACACTTTACTCTAAATGCTAACGTGCAAACAATATCATTTTCAACTCAACAACAGGCACGCTGTTATTAATTATGATATTAGAACAGACAGTATTAATACTTAGAATAACTATAAGCAACAACGAAAAGACTCTTTTTCACATGTAATTACTGAAATCTCAGTAATAATTGTTTCTGTTATTTAGTAAATAAATTGCATTGTAAAAAAGAGTGAAATTGTATTCGAGCAATATGAGATACTTAAACCAGGCAACTAAAATAAAATAAAATCTCCATTAAAGAGTAAATGGGTGTATATCAAGAAACTGGTCAGAAAAAATATCTTATACTTAATCAAGCAATTACAATACTTCATTAATCTCATTAAGCAGTAATTAAATCAAGCAAAACACCCTGGCTATCTGCTCAGGCGTGGGCAATCATGATTGCAGTTTTACATATATCTGACACAGTACAGTAGTCTGTGACTACTGTAATTGTACATGGTAATATAAAAATATGTCATACATCATACAAAAATAATACGTTGTTATGCTTTTGCCACTGTTTATTTACCACCCGTGGTAGCATATGCGCCTAGCCAGGGGGCTATGCCCCTGGACCCCCGCGCAACGTTCCATTTACACTATATGCTCTATTGATATTATGTTTACATAACACTGTGTTTTTGTTTACGGCAGTTTTACATAGTAAATTTAGGATATAATACGAGTATATCTTCCAATATATCAGATGAAATTAAATATTCACAAAGTTCTTTCTATATACCTCATGTTAGGTGGTCTAAAAGGCTGTATCACATGACATTCCGATATATAATGCTCAAGCGTTCGCTTGTTTTCTTCGTTACACAGTCTACATTTAGATTCATCTGCACTTCTTGCACCGTGCAGTTGCCAATACATTCTGTAACCCAAACGTATTCTAGCAATAACGTCACATTGTCTGGTTCGACTTTGGTGCCACCCATAGGAGGGCTTGCTATCCCTATACTGATCGTAGTGCCTTACGGTACAGCTTTCAGGCCTTTGAGTGTTCGTCAGATCTACTAGTTCTTCCTTATGAGAACTTTTCAATATATGTGCAACCTAGCTAGAAGCATCCCAAGATCTATGTTCACAGTATCTTTGCTGCTGGCTTCCTTCGCCAATTTGTCTACGTGGTCGTACTTGCTTATGCCAACATGAGATGGTATCCATACAAATTTAATGTTGAAATGGCGCTCCATTGCACTAGTGACGTTACGCTTAATGCAACTCACAATTTCCTCATCGACATCTACTTTGAGATAATTTAGTGTCCGAAGAGCACTCTGAGAGTCACAGAAACTACTCCAGAGGCCCGAGACATTAAGAATTCCGTTACAAGGAGTAGACTTTCAAAGATGGCGGGCGTGTCTGAGTTTCACTACGCGATTTTCATCTTTTTTATGGTGTTTTTACGATATTTGGTTCTGTATCCATTCTATTTTAGCCTGTTTTACCCCATAATTTCCCTAATATACTTCATGCCCTCCCCTGGGACTATCAAATCAAGACTGTCGATGGAGATGATGATCATATCTCCTCAACGATTCCTTTGCACAAGGAAAAACTTAGAATCGTTGAAAGCAGTGGATTTCATGCAGAAAAATATCAAAATGGTTTCGAAAGTAACCCCATCCAGTAGCCACGCCATAAAAATGGCGTGGCTACTGGATGCTATTCCGAAATCTATTCCGCCGCAGTTAATATGAATATAATCTAATCTACTTAGAACTGCATGTTATTTTCGCACTCGTGACATCTTTGCTATTTTATCTTTGATGTCTCGTCCTGGCTTGTTTGTTTCACCTATTCGCCCCCGTGTTGTTCATTGTGATAATGCCTTTGTGTCTACGACACTGTGTCTCACTGTGTTAATCAATTATAAAACTCTTGAAATCTGCTTTTTGTATTGGACATCTTAAATACATCCTCTAACAGTTAAAATTTTCACTAATCAAGAGAGAGAGAAAAAAAAACTGCAATATTTTTTTTGATAGAAAAATAGTTACAATACAGCTCCACAGTTTTCTATTTTTACATCTTGAATGTTACTCAAAAGCACTGCCTTTTTCAAGATATCCATACCCGCTGTAACTCTACCAAAAGACCAATAATCAAAAGCCCCTGGAAGGTTTTGTGTGTAGATATTAAACTGGGCACCGTTACATTTAGCAGGTCCACCTGAAAGAAGGCCCTCTATAACAGGTTGTACTGTATTTTCATTTTCTGGAATGCCAGGCAATATGGACTGTCCCCCTGTGCCATCGTTTTTGTCGTAGTCACCTCCTGTGACCATTTCCCCTGGATTTCCGAAGTTGCTGATGGTGAGGAAGGAAGTACCACGGTAAGAGTGTTCACTTTCTCCAATACACAGAGACAGGAATTGTCTACTGCGAACGCTGCTATTCTCTAGCGTGATGATGAGGTCACCTTGCGTTGTCCCATGCCAGCCAAGTGTCAGGAAAACTACCAAAGGAGGACAAATCAAATCTTCATAGAAGTTGTGCTGGAAATAAAAGATAGAATTTTAAAAATAAAATGTATTAATACACTTACAATTTACTGTGTGTCTTAATATAAAGAAAATAAACACCCGACATATCCTTTATCCTTAATAATTTTATTCACATTTTCTCTACCTTTCTCTCTCTCACACACAAACATTGTCTTTCCCAAAGGAGCTCGTAGTGATAATACATTAGACTAAACTGCTAGTAAAGACATTTCTTGATTGCCTGGGGTTATAAGTACATGGAGAGTTGCTATTAATGTTTGCTTGAGGACCAGCAAGCAAGGAAACTGGTGCATTTAGTCCTGCAGCTACTGGCAAACGATCTTTCAGGAGTGGTACATTTGCCTGAGAAACCATCTACAAAGGAACTGGTAAAGGTGTAATGTTTGATTGAGGCCATAACAACAAGGTATATCCATCTAAGGATGAATATATTCGCTAAGGAACTTTAGCAAATGTTCACTTTAAGAGCAGCTAAGAAAATTCAAGGAATGGAATGTTCGTCTATAGAACATATAGTAATAGCCCAGTTGCCTGAGGATTCATCAGCAAGTGAAATTCCAGGGATGAAATTGTGGGTTGTGATAATGATCCATGTTTTGATAATACATATTATGATGCCATTTCATACGGCTTGTGATGACAGTATTACCGCACATATATTGTGATAATTATAGGATCTTATTCTATACACTGCCTTTTGTGTGATATGTTGCACCTTGTGAAGTGTAGATTATTATGTTTAGTTTATAATGCTGTGCAACATATCTACTGTGTAAAAAAAAAAAAAAAAAAATTCTTTGTACGATTTGCTGAGTACAATATATTTTGTCTGTACTCGCATGTTTGGCAGCAATACTCTCGCTCTGGCAGAGCCTGGCATGTGGGGCAAAGGAACATGAAAAATTTCCTTTTATTTTTGTCAGAGCTGATCTCCAATCAACCTACTTTAATTTTCATTGGCATTTTCTTCAACCTCAGGAAACACCAGACAACATAAGCCAAACAGAAAAATTCACCTACAGAGCTTCCATCAATGACCCAGTTATTTGAGAATTAGCAATAAATGGAAATTCCAGGCATGGGACATTCTCCTAAGGAGTCTCCAGCGATCACTCAGTCGCTTAAATATCCACCTACAAGGGACATTTCTGGAATGGTACACCCATTGGAGGTACTGTCACTGATGATCCCACTGACTGAGGACCCATCAGCAAGGGAACTTCCTTGAATGGAACATTCATCAGCAGAGCTGCCGATGATGGCCCAGACCTTCTAGGAACAGAATGCTAATTGAAGGAGCCAATGGCAATGACTTGTTCATTCGAAGACCACTGACAAGGAAATTTATATTATTGGCATATTCATATGAAGAGCCACTGGAAGTGACACCTTTGCCCAATGTGCGACGCACTATACTGAGAAGCCACATGGCTGTGGAACACTTGACTCATACGTAATGCAAATATACATAGATATTTAAAATATGATTTACTTGCATTTATGATCATATTCTTCATTTTAAAATTGACGTATATGCAGTGACAGAAACAGAACTTACTGCGAAAATGACAGATTCGCCTG